AACCAAACAACACATCCTACATTACATCAATGTTGTATTAGCTTCTTAGGTCTTATGACCTAACAAAAAGAGCTCTGCAAAACGTTTAGTCCTTTCAACATCCAAAAAAAAATAAACATGTCAAAACTCTCAGAACGTATTAACACAACATAGCACAAGACTTATAATTCCGATACCGTAATCACTAGCAAGATAGTAAACTAAATACTTGCACTCGATCATTACTTCTATCAACAACGAATAAGCTATTATCTGAATCAAATCTCAATGTTTCAGGACCGTTCAATAAATTTGCTGTTGTACCTGATGCACCAGCTGCGGAACCAATAATTGTATCACCACTTCCAGCTGATGGTAGCCATCGTTGAATTCGATTATTAGCTAAAACAGAAAAAAGACACAAAGAAAATAAAAGAAGTGAGTTTTACATAACGAATCAAACAGAGTAAGGATACTTACATCCATCAGCTATATATATATTACCACTCTTATCCACAATAACATCCCGTGGGCCATTTAATTGATTTGTTCCATTACCAGCGATATTATTACCAGCTACAACTACTCCGTTGGAACTTTGGGTTGATCCTGGAGGAAATTTCATTATACGATGATTGTTTGTATCAGCAACATACAAATTGCCAGTTACAGAATCATAATAGACACTATTCGGTTGATTTAGTTGATTTAAACCATTGCTAGCTCCGTTGCCTCCTAAGGAAAAGTTATGTTTAGAAGACGAGTAATCGAAATCTAATTATTTACATACGTAACCAGTGTGTCCTACTAACCTGCTACAATTACAGGAGTGTTATTATTGTATGCCAGTTTTAGTACTGAATGTTCACCTCCCATGGCCATGTATAAATCATTTGTCGATGGATCGAGAAAAATATGTTCCGGAGCAGTATGACCTGACATTTTCAACGTACCACTCGTAGTTGAATCTGAATTTGGAGGAAATTGTAATACTAAATCGCATCCAGGATCCGATGTATACATGTTACCAAAACTATCCATTGCTAGACCAGCAACATTTCCAAACTGATTAAAGTTACATCCATTTCCATTATCACCAGCGAAAATAGTGCCTGTTGAGCTACCTACGGGCCATTTCAAGACACGAGAATTTGTTTGCTCTCCAATATACATTATATTATTTAATGTATCAAGATGCAATGCAATTGGGCCATTTAATAGAGAAAGATTAGCACCACTGACACCTGCCACGCCAGCTACAGTTACACCACTTTGATTCCATGTCGATTGTGAAGACAAAAGACAGACTGTGAAAGGATAGACAAATTTATCGTAAGTCTGTCAAATCGAACATAACACGAATTCTCTATCGATCTCTTCAATAGCTCTTTATAAAAAACAGTAACAATAAATCCCTTCTTTCTCTTCTTAGGAGAGATCTGTGTACATTTCGAGAATTCAGTTTTTTCCAATTCGGATAAACAATTTAAGAAAATGAATCTAGAAAACCGCCATGCAATGTGCAATTTTTGCTAGACATACAGACATGCATCATTAAGACGTTGTCAAAAATTTGTAATCACCGTTTATGTAGCTTTTTGTATACACCCATTGAGGTGGCTGAATTTCAAAACGTTCTAAATACCTTAGTGTTTGCTTTCCATATACCAGACCTCTAAAACACTTATATTTCATTAAAAAGTTACCATATTTTTATTGTCTACTCCACCTAACTTTTGAATAAAACTTCTAGGCTCATCACAAACACACTACCTGGTGTCCGTCGTCAAAAAGAAACTGGAAATGATTTTTAAACACCAGCATGTAACAATCCATTCGATCAGTCAGAATGATGTTCTTGTCGAGCTGTCAGCTGAAAAGGCAGCCCACTTTTCTGTTGAACACACGCCTCTTTGTTCACGTTAGTTTCTTAGATTAAAGCCATTTGACAGCATTGCGACTGATGCATTTTCTTCACAAAACAAACCTACTTGTAGTGGTCGTGGTCGTGGTCAATGTTGAAGTTGCTGAAAAGAAAGAGAAATGTAATAGTGCACTCAATTGCCGCATCACTCTGTCCACAGTTTTGTCTCCAGGCTGGT